CGGCGCAGGTGGGCCGCGGGCGGAGGTGGCTCCCGGCGTCACCCGGGCCCCGCTCTGGGCCTCGCCGGCGCCTCCTCCAGGGCCGGCGGGCGGCCTCAGATGGGGTCCGGGGTCCTAACGGCAGCTCTGCGGGTTCCCTCCAAGGCTCGCAGGCACCGGGACCCGGGATGGAGCGCCCGCGACTCGAAGGCGCTGCCCGCGACCTCTGACCGCGCCTCCCCGACCCAGCCTCCTCCCGGTGGCCGCCCCGAGGCCCGGCCCGCCGACCATGCCGTCCAAGGCCGTGTGTCTGCGTCACACCGCGGCTCCCGGGCAGCGGCCGGCCGGGACGCTCAGCGGGCGGCTTCCCGCCCCCGCCCGGGACCTGGCCCTGAGCCCGGGCTCCCTGCCTGGCGCCTGCACTGAGGCCCCCGAGGACGGCCCCACGCTCCCTCGCAACGATCGCGCGGAAGCGGGCAGCGAGACCTCGCCCGCCGCCGCGAAGCCCATCACCCCACGCCCCCCGATGCGGCCCAGGCTGGAGCGAGCCCTGTCTCTCGATGACAGAGGCTGGAGAAGGAGGCGCTTCCGAAGCAGCCAGGAGGACCTGGCCGCCCAGGACGGGGCGGGTCTCAGCGGGGACTCGGTGCAGAGCACGGCCCCCCAGAGCCTGGGCCGCGGTCTCCCGCTGCCTTGCCTGAGCACGTCCTTGCAGGAGATCCCCAAGCCCCGTTGGGCCACGGGCAGCATGGGCGGGAGCCCGACCTGGGGCGACCGACTCTCAGGCATGGTCAGCACATCCCTGGATCTCCTGCACAGGGAGGCCACCCCGGCTGGGGGTTCCCCCAGGCTGGCCAGCCTACGCACCCCACACCCACCATCCTCCTCGGAGCCCACCGTGGCCTCCAACACCCTGAGGACTGCAAACCAGGCGGACTCTGAGCAGACTGACCGCAAGCAAGCTGTCCCCACCAGGCTGGTCCGTGCCCACAGCAGTCTGGGTCCCAGCCGGCCTCGCAGTCCCCTGGCCTGTGATGACCGTTCGCTGCACTCGGCCAGGTCCTCCTTCAGCCTGCTGGCCCCCATCCGTACCAAGGACATCCGCAGCAGGTAGGGCCTCCCTCCTGCACCACCGCCTGCTACAGAGCGCCTCAGCCCTGCGTGCTGGACTCAGGGCATGCACAGGCTAGCAGGACATTAGGCAGATGTGGATGTGACTGGCCCAAGACCCCAGGCAGATGGCACCCAAGCTGAGGGGTCACCCCTGCCCTCCAGTGCTGAGCACTGCAGGTGCGGCCCAGCCACACGAACCATTCCTTTCTGCCCTTGGCCCGGGCCCTGGGCTTTGGTCTGAGAGGGGCCCTGCAGACTCCTGTAGCCCAGCAGGAAGTGTGTGCAAGAAGAGGTGCAAAGTGGTCCGGCATTGGCTTCCCAGGCCTGCCTGACCAGTGACCCTGCGGTCACTGAGTGCCTCAGGTGGTTTTAGTGGTCAATCCCAGCTCTGCAGACAGGGCTGGCCATCCTCTCCGCGAAGATCTTGGGGACCCTTCCTCTCCCCACCCTCCCAGTTGTGGCTGTTCAATTACTTACCTTTCCCTGACCTAAGTCCCAGGTGACTCTGGGATCTAGCCAGTTTGTTTGCACAGAGCCTTCCAAGGCCCTAGGGTGGCCATGTCCTGCAGCCCACTCGCCCGTCTTGTCTCACAGGTCACCTTACTTCCCAGTACCTGGCGCCAGCCTGGGGCCCAGCCTGCTCCTCAAAGCATCTGCACCATAGGTGTACCCATTTGTTCCTCCTCCTGGTACCGAGGAGTGAGCCGGGCCCTCTTGGCACCTTTTGTCTTGAGTTGTGGTCTTGCTGAATTACCCAGCCGGGCTCCTCACCGGAGTCTGGTTGCAGTTGTGCACCACCATAGCAAGCCTGGGAACCAGAATCTGCCTTAAGGAAGACGGTGTAAATCCGTCTTCAGGAAAAATGTGTGAGGTTTTCTTAGCGAGTCGGGATTGCAGAGTGAGCTGGGGCTTTGAGCAGCGAAGGGCGTCCGTAAACCGACTGTGACGGACTGTTCTTGAGAACTGGAAGAGGGCAGCGATGCGTGCAGGACAGACACACAGCTTGGGGACCCAGCAGCGAGGTGGGGCCAGCGGGGAGGCCTGGAGCTCGGCGGTGCCATGTCACCAGCAGCCTGGTCTGCACTGTAGCTGGTCCACACAGGCAGGACCTGGGAGGACAGCATGACCGGAGGAGGTGACCCTGAGACAGACAAGGTCACGTCCACAAGGAGTTGGCGGGCTGGCGCCCATGCTGCCATCTCAGGTTGCACGGGCCTACTTGGCCCCCCTGGGGTCCCCCCGGGATACAGGCAGGAGTCCTAAGTGTCCTCCTACCCCCCTGGGGTCCCCCCGGGATACAGGCAGGAGTCCTAAGTGTCCTCCTGACAGGTGCACACCTGTGGAAGCCGTGTAGGTGTTGGCCTTCTGCAAGCCAACCCCTCAGGTGTCCCAGCAAATGGGTAAAGTGTTCGGGGTCAACATAGGCCATCACAGAACCTTTTTTTTTTTTTTTTTTTTCAGACAGGGTCTTGCTACGTAGTTCAGGCTAGCCTCTTTCTCACTCTGTAGCCCAGGTTAGCCTCAAATTTGACCCTCCCCGCAAGTGCTGGGATTATAGGTGTGCACCACCACATCAAACTCTCACTGAGTTGAAGACATGGAGGCAGAGCTTATTGAGAGTGGCTGCTGCCTGCGTCCCAGGGGTGGTTGGCCGTGGCCCTGGTCTGGGCAGAGGGGTGACAGCAGGCACTCAGTTAATTGGTGGAGGTTTCAGCAGGTGGACGCCTGGTGCAGCTGTGTCCCCAGGCACAGGACCTACTCAGGATGCTGAGGGAGGGGATTGGCAGCCAGGACCAGGCTAGCAGAGCTGAGGAAGAGGCCCCGTGGCCATGCCTAGGGCGGTGGCCACCACCCATGTTCTGCAGTGAGCCACGCTGTCACCCCGTAGGTGGCTGGAGAGGTCCAAGCACCTCGAGTCTCACAGGGTGTGAAGCGGGGGAGCTTCCTTCCACAAGGGTGCAGCAGGTCGTGCTGGTTGATGGCAGACCGAGGCTGTGTCTCCCTGTAGGGGCTTGTGCGTCCTGAGCAGGCTCAGGGGCATGCCCTGTTGGTAATGGGCATCTGGTCATCTTCATCATGGTTTTGTTTTGCCCACTGGAAGTTGAACCTAAAGCCTCTTACATGCTAGGCAAGCCCTCTGCCTCTGTGCTGTGTCCCCAGCCCTTTTTATTTCATCTTTAACAGTGTCTCCCTGAGTTGCCCAGACTGGCTTAAATCTGCACTCCTCCTGCCTCAGCTTCCCCAGGAGCAGGGGTGACAGGCATATTTACATGTAGCCTTCTCCCGCTTCTCCAGATGGCCCCTCAGGCTCTGCCTGTGGGGAGATGGGGGAGGGAGCTGCCACCCCAGCCCCGCACCAGCGGTAGTGCTGCCTGCCTGCAGGCCGCCTCAGGAGCGAGTGACTCCCTGTGTGGTCCACACAGCAGGCGGGCCTGGCAGGGTCAGGGTCTCTCACTTCACACAGTTCTCCCCACAGGAGCTACCTGGAGGGCAGCCTGCTGGCCAGCGGGGCCCTGCTGGGCGCGGAGGAGCTGGCCCAGTATTTCCCTGACCGCAGCTTGGCGCTCTTCGTGGCCACGTGGAACATGCAGGGCCAGAAGGTCAGAGGCAGGCGAGACGCAGTGCATGGCCTGGCCTGCTGCAGCCCCTGCCAAGGGGTGTGGAGGGCACTTCCAGGAGAGGGTCCGTGGGCACCGGGCATGGTGGGGGCGTGCGGGGGCAGCAGTGAAGCGGTGAGGGGCTGCCACTGCCCTGGGCACCGACCAGGAGGAGACCGCCGGGGCACAGTGCACCGATGCGTCTGGCTCCCTGGGGTCCGTGGGCATCATCGCTGGGCACAGCTTCCATTTCCCCTTGTTCAGAGGCAGTGCTCTGGGCCTGACCAACTCCTGGCTTCCCCCGCAGGAGCTGCCACCCAACCTGGACGAGCTGCTGCTGCCCACCGAGGCCGACTACACCCAGGACCTGTACGTCATTGGCGTGCAGGAAGGCTGCTCTGACAGGTGGGTGGCGCCTAAGACAAAAGGCCTTGGCCTCTGTGTAGACAGCCGATGGACCATGAGAGCGGGAGGGCAGCAGGAGCAGTGCTGGCCCCGCCCCGCTGGGCCGAGCCCAGGCTTTCCCCCACGTCCCATCCCAAAGTTCTTCATTTTTCGCATTTAGCTTATTTTTAGCTTTTTTGTTTTGAAGCAGCGTCTCACTTAGTGGTCCAGGCTAGGCTCAAACTTGCAGTCTTCCTGCCTCAGTCTCCCAGAGTGCTGGCTTCTTGTGAGGCCATGTTGGGCTGACGCCGAAGGGCTTTGCTGGCCTGTGCGGCCTGGTAGCATCTGGGTGCAGTTGTGTGCATGGCCTGCGGAGCAGCGCTCTTGGGCCGTCACTGGGGCTCTCATGCCCCCCACCGAGGGTCTCAGCAGGGTGCAGCAGAAGCACCCTGGTGGGTTATGGAAGCTCATGAGCAGCCCCCACCAGTAGCTGGAGGGCAGGGCCTGCTTCTCCCTTGGGGGTCCGACCTGTGGCCCTAGCACCTGCCTGTGCCCCCACCCCCACGAGGTCCAGGCCTGGAGTCCCCAGTGCCTCCTGAGCCAGGAGACACCACATCCCAGCCCCTCCACCTGCTCCACAGGCGAGAGTGGGAGACACGGCTGCAGGAGACGCTGGGCCCGCGCTACGTGCTGCTGTCCTCGGCGGCCCACGGCGTGCTGTACCTGTCCCTGTTCATCCGCAGGGACCTCATCTGGTTCTGCTCAGGTAGGTCTGCAGCCCCTGTGCCGCCCGGACAGACCCGGGAAGCGAAACGGCCGCTGGCACTGACCCCGCCTGGCCCCCACAGAGGTGGAATGCGCCACGGTGACCACACGCATTGTGTCCCAGATCAAGACCAAGGGCGCCCTGGGCGCCAGCTTCACCTTCTTCGGCACCTCCTTCCTCTTCATCACCTCCCACTTCACCTGTGAGTCACCAGCGCCCCTCCCGCTGCTCTCGGGCTGGGCTGCAGCTCTGCCCCACAGGCGCTGCGGTGATGGGGTAGGTGGGCAGCCGGGGCAGGAAATCAGTGCCCAAGACCTGCAGCCCTCAGCCTCGCTCTGTCCCCCCAGCCGGAGATGGGAAGGTGGCAGAGCGGCTGCTGGACTACACCAGGACCGTCCAAGCCCTGGCCCTGCCCCGGAACGTGCCCGACACCAACCCCTACCGCTCCAGCGCAGGTAGAGCTGGGAGGGGAGAGCACAGCAGGGCGAGGTGGTCCGCAAGGCTGGCCGTTGGCACGGCCTCTGTCCTGGTCCCCAGCCTGGGTCAGGGTCTGCCCCTGGGAGCCACTGCAGTGAGGCCACAGCAGGCGCGGGGAGGCCGATGCCCACACGCTGTCCTCTGTGCCCAGTGGATGTCACCACCCGCTTTGATGAGGTGTTCTGGTTTGGAGATTTCAACTTCCGCCTGGGTGGTGGGCGCGTGGCAGTGGAAGCCGCGCTGAGGCAGGAGCGGGAGGCGGCCGTGCAGGCCTTGCTGCAGCAGGACCAGCTCACGCGGGAGATGAAGAACGGTGAGAGGGGGCTTGCGGGGGGCGCAGGCAGGGTGGGCTGGCTCCGGACTGAACGCTGTGCCCTCACAGGATCAGTCTTCAGGGGCTTCCAGGAGCCAGACATTGTCTTCCTGCCCTCCTACAAGTTTGATCTCGGGAAGGACACCTATGACAGCACCTCCAAGCAGAGGACGCCCTCATACACGGTAGGCCTGCTCCTCTGGGAGAGGACCCAAGTGCTGTGCTGCTGCCCAGTGCCCGGGCCAGTGAGACCAGCAGTCTGCGCGGGCCCGCACTTGTGTTCTCGCCAGCCCACAGTGACCTTTCTTGCTGAGGGTGGCCCCGCCCATGAGGTTCCCCAGAAGTACCCCGGGGTGGCCAGTCCCCCCAGTCACCGCCGATTGCATATGCTCCATCATCCCTCTTAGCATCAGCAAAGGAGTGGGCGGCGCTGGCCCAGCCTGGCATCCCAAGGCCCGCCGCGTCCATGACGTGTGGGGGACATAGAGGCGGCCCCAGAGCTGGGGGCAGCTGGCCGGGCCCCCGGTGCTGAGGCCTGACGTCCACCCCGAGCCGCCCAGTGCAGCGTTGCTGTCACAGTCAGTGCCCTGCTCCCTGTCTCCAAGGACCGGGTTCTGTACAGAAGCCGCCACAAGGGGGACATCCAGCCCGTGACCTACTCCTCCTGCCCTGGGATCAAAACGTCTGACCACCGCCCGGTGTACGGCCTGTTCCGGGTGCGCGTACGACCTGGACGAGACAAGTGAGCCCCTCTGTGTTCCTCGGGCCGGGCCGGGCTGGCGGGGGGTCTGCCCTGGGTGGCAACACACGCGAGGTACGTGGGTGGTCATATTGTGCTGCAGCACGGAGGGGCGGGGTGCAGGCAGCTTCCGGGATTGAAGTGATCCCCCATCACATGACCTGTGGCTCCTCCCACCCGTGAGCCTGGTGTCTGTGGGACCTTGGAGCAGAGCAGTCCCACTCTGCTCAAGACTCCTGAAGATGAGCCCTGGGGACTTGGAGCTGGTAGAGGGACAAGGCAGGGCCCTGTCCCCGTGGTGTGTGCAACCCTCAGTGTCCCTGTCCGGGGATCGAGGGACACCGGGCACCCTGTCACCCACCTTTCCGAAGCATTCCTCTGGCTGCTGGCAAGTTTGACCGAGAGCTATACCTGATTGGAATTAAGAGACGGATTTCAAAAGAAATTCAGAGACAGCAAGCCCTGAAGAACCAGAGCTCCAGCGCCATCTGCTCGGTGTCTTGAAGTCCCCAGAGGCCCCATTGTGACCTGCAACTCAGGACCACGAATCCCTGGAAGAGCTGGGGGTCTGCTCTCTGGTGTCCCTCCATTATGGTCCCCATGCACAGCTGTGGGGCTGCCCCACTTCTCACCGGGAAAGCCCAGGGCAGCCCAGGGGCCTGGCACGCCATGCCCACTGGTGTCCCTGTGACCCCCAACGGGGGGGGGCGGGGCTCTCTCAGGGCATCTGCACTCCAGCCCCATGAATGACAGGTATCTGAGCTGTTCTGCCCTGGACAGCAGCCGGATTCCCGTTTCCTGCTTGCGAGGGCTGCAGGCTCACCTCTGCTTCAGTGCTCAATCCAAGCCCTGGGCCTGAGTGCCCCCACCCAGAGCCCACACCACACAGGCGTCTGTGGAGGTCATGGTATAGCCCGTGTCCTCTGGGCCTCAGCCCCTGGGCACTCCAGAACCCCCTAAGGCCGAGGAAGCCTCCGAGGCCACAGCAGACCCTGGTGGCACACTCACCCTGCCCCAGTGGCCCCAGCTATGGGAGGCCCACCTCCCTGCCTTGCCCCAAGTCTCACTGGGCGACCTCAGCCACAGTGTCAGCAGCCCCTTGCTTAGGTCCTTACCCTACAGGGCTTCAACCTCCCCCCACCATGGAGGATGTAGACTTGAGTGTAGAATCCTAGGGACACCCAGGCCAGCCTGTTAAATTATTTATTTTTCCATATTTATATTTTTAAATACATGCATATATCAAATCTTAAACCCCTCTGGGCTCTGCATGCTCCGAAGTCCGTGCTGCGGCTTTTGCGCACTTCACTGAGGACAGCGTAGGAAGGCAGAGACCTGGATCTCTAGGGCTGGAGCTTGAGGGGCAAGTTCAGGGACACCCGGGAGCTGACTGGGTTTCCCTCATGCGGAAAGGCGCAGTTGTGCTCAGGGGTGGGCTGGGATGAAGGCGTTCAGGGCCAGCTCCTACTGCATGTACCGGTCCTACCGCATGCTGCCATCTGGCCAGCAAGGGGGAGCCCAGGGAACGGGTACTGGGAGGGTCCTGGGCTCCAGGCCAAGCAGGCCCAGCCTGGGGGCAGACTGGGCCACCACAGCCTCCAAGCACATCCCCAGCCCGGGAAGCTGGCCCTGCAGACCCCACCCTCAGGCCTCCTCGCAGGTAGCACAGCCTAAGCTCCAGACACAGGCCACTGCAGGTGCTGGCACAGTCTCAGCAGGACCCTGCAGTGACCACCGTTCCAAGGCTCTGCCACCAGCGACAGAATCCCGTAGGGTGGGTGCCTGGCCTGCCCTACGGGGCCCCCCAAGACCTCTTCACGTCCACAGTAGGACGTGGCGTGTCACCCTGTGCCTGATGATGGTGGGGGCTTCACCCTTGCAGCTTTCCAGCACCCACGGAGCCCCTCCACACTTGGGAGGTGGTCACAGTACATCCTACCACGGGGGACGGGCTCCAAGACACTGGCCAAACTGGATGGTCCCGAGCAGGGCTACCGTCTAAGACAGCTTTTGTCTTGCAGTACTGGGCTAAAGGAGCTTCCCTCCACTGCCCCTTGTAATGTTCAAATTAGGAGATGGACTCTGAGTCGCCTAGGCTAGATTAGAACTTGGAAACCGCCTGCTTCCTAGCATTCTGGGCTTGTAGGTGTACACCCCACCGACTAGCTCACATCGGCCTCAACTAATCCCGGAGCCAGGCAAGAAGACAGCGTGGCAGGAAGTGGTGACAACTTTATTGGCAGAGACGGTGGTGCACGCCCCTCCGGCTTATCTGGCCTTCCCAGAGTGGGGGTGGGGTGGGGTGGCCTTGGCATGAGTCCCAGAGTGGCCACCCACTCTTGAGTGGCCCTGCTTCCCAGCCCAGAAGGGTCAGTCACCCTGCCTGGAAGCTCCCTTCAGGAGGGACGAGAGGTTCAGGCTCCAACAGTCACACCAACTCTGCGCCCGGGTCTGAGCGCCCCGTGTGCCACCAGCCAGGCACCTCCACGTCACTCCACGCGTGTGCACGCTGCTGTCTATCTGGGTCTCCAGGGACCCTACCGGAAGAGCCGGTACATCCTGGGCAGGCGTCCATCCCGGCTCGACAGTGCGGCCTGGATGTGCTCGTAGCTGGGCAGGCTGCTCAGGTCGCCCAGGGCCGCCACAGCAGGCTTCCCTCGAAGCATCTTTGCAGCCACCCGCTTGATGTCCTCCGGCTTCACCTCACCTAGTGTGGAGCAAGACATGTCAGACTGAGCCCCATCCCACCCAGCGGGCGAGTGAGGGTGGAAGGGACTGCGCTCCCGGACAGCGGGGCCTGACCATCAGGGGAGAGGGACAAGGGGCTGCAGGGATGGGTGCAAGGATGGGGCCGGGAGCTGCCAGGAGACCTGGGGAAGGCAGCGCCGGCCAGGCAGCCATCTGCAGGAGGGCCCAGGACCTGCGTGGTACTGTGGCTCCAGTGCCCACAAAGCAGGGCACACTCCCTCCCTGCAGCGACCCAGAGCTCTGCGGTGATGCCAGCTGACCTCCCCGAAGAACCTAGCACACAAGTGGGATGCCCTGCACAGGGCCACAAGGGCAGAGACCACGCCGCCACCTGCATCAGGGACTGCTGTCCGAAAAGACCCCGTGTGGGGCATCCCCTGGGCGAGAGGGCTGGCCACACCCCAAGTGCCCGCTGGTACAGACAGAGCAGGGATTAGCTGCTGGGCAGCCTGATGCAGCTCTCACTCACGGATGAGCGCACAGAGCTCGTGCGGCAGCTTGCGGGAGTGCGTGGCCAGCACCTGCCTGCCCACATCCTCGAAGATCACCGGTCTGGACTCCAGGTTCATCATGAGCATGGACATCAGCTGCGTCTTGGCCCGCTCCAGCTCCACCTGAGGGCCACAGGCACCCACCCGTCAGGTCACCCGCTGACCGATGGGAACCGCAGCACGGTGCACGGGCAGGGGCAGCTACGCCCTGGGCACACAGGTCGTTGCCTAGACCCCATCTACAGGCCAGGGACAACACAGGGATGGGGCAGACTTGCCCACCAGTTTCTCTTCGCTGCAACAGGTTAAGTGGTCCTGGTTCCTTAGGCCCTGTGCACCGGGCCCAGCCTGCGAGGCAGCACGGCACCGAGCCCCTGTACCGCACTCCCCGAGCCCCTAGCAACTGGGAAGAGTGAGGCCCAGCAGTCCCAGGAAGGACAAGCCTGAGGGTCTGGAGCCACCAAACATAAAGACAAACGCTGAAAGGTCAGCTGTGGAGACTCTTGGGGTGCAGGGACTGACCCCCAAGACCTTGCTTACACCACAGAACTGCTCCACCCCTGAGCTTAGATTCAAGCATGAAATAGCCCGGCCAAGGCCGTCAGCCACAGAGCCTCCATGGTACACTGTTCTAGAAGGGGTGGCTGAGGAGGAAGGTCACACTGCCCCAGGACACTGCCAGCCACTTCCGACCGGGCCCTCCCTGCTGATGCGGACGGCAAGTACACAGGAGCTTGGAGCTGCCTTACCGTGTCGACAGTTCCGCCCATCAGGATAAACTCCCTTGTGATGATTTCCACCATGTCTCGAACCTATGCAGGAAATGAGGTGTCAGCAGCACCACCAGCCGGCCACCCCCACCTCCTGCTGCTGTGCCCGCACCTGTCTGGGGTCGGCACTAGCGTGAATACACAGGAGGCCAGTGTCCTCGTAGCTGTGGTGGTAGGAGGTGGCGTTGTACATCCAGTGGTACCTGTGAGGGGACAGAAGGTGCCCAGCAACATCAGGCCACAGCCACAGGAGGACACTATGGCCTTGAAGCCCACGCCCTGCAGGAGCCAGGGAATTGCTGACCTATTGAGCACGTTGAGGTAGAGCCTAGAGAACATGCCCTTGCCGGGGCCGCCAGCTGAGAAGGAGCCGCCGCCACCCATCATCATGTTCAGCACCGCGAAAGGGATGAAGTCGTCGTCCTGCAGGCGCGGGTGCCAGCTCGGACGGGGCCACGCCCACACGGGTGCTGCCCCATGCCGACTTGCCAGGAAGGAGCCTGGGCCACGCCCACACAGGTGCCACCCCTGTGCCCAGACTCACCAGGAAGGAGCAGCTCTCCAGGCCCACCATGATGTGGGCAAGCTCGGGGATTGGGGTCGGGCCGGGGCTGACACTGGACATGTCCCTCTCCAGCTACAATGAGATCAATGGAGCGCGGGCACACACAGGTCCTGAGCCGTGTGCCAAGCCCTCTGAGACAAGGGGACATGGGTACAGGGTCCTGGGCTGCACATACGCAGAGGAGCAGCACAGACGCACTCAGGGCACCAAGGTAACTGACGAGGCACAGTGCCGTTACCTTGACAATCCCGCCAGTGTACTGTGCCACTGATCTGTCCACGGCTGTGGCGCCTGTAGCCCCCCAGGCTGGCGTCACCCCCAGGAGGTGTCTGGCCGCGCACGCCACCAGGTGCTCGTGCTCCACGCCCACGCCGGCCAGCACCATGCGCCCCGGCGTGTAGTAGCTTCTCAGGTAGGCATGCAGCACCTCCCGGTTGATCCTGGCGATGTTCTCCGCGGGGCAGAACCGACGGAGGCCCACAGTGTTCCCCCTGTAAGCAGCCTGAGTGGGCACAACACAAGGACACGTGAGGGTCCAGGCTCCCCCAGGGTGTCACGTGCTGCCAGCCGCGTCTGGGCAAGCCTGACACATAAGGACACCTGGCTGTGGTCTGACATCGCCTCTGGGGTGCGTGCAAAGGTAGCAAAGCCTGCAGTCTAGGATGGAGCGCCACCGAGAAAGGAAGATGGGGCCGGGATGCAGCTCAGCAGCGTAAGTGCCTGCCCGGCAAACGCAATGTTCTGAGTTCGATCTCCAGCACCAAAAAGGAAAAAAAAAAAAAAAAGAAAGAAAGTGCCCTTCTATAGATGGAAAAAGTCAACAGCCTGCTCAAGAAGTGGAAACGTGAACGGGGCTGGGGCGACTCCTACACGAAGGCTGTTCCCAGGCAGAGCAGCTGCCTGCCTGACACGCACAGTACTGGGTGCCTGCACTGCTGGCGTAAAGGAAAAATGGAGGCGACCACGAACATGCAGGACACGCAGGAGCCAGCGACCTTGTGTCCATGCCCAGCACAGAGCCTGGGGCAGAAATGGGCATGTGAGCTGGTTTACCTCATGGATCATCTCAGTGAGGAGGGGCTCGGGGTCAGGCCGCATGTTCAGGTCCTCCAGCTCAAACTGAACAGCCATCCGGGTCATTTCCAGCTCCTCGTCTGCAAGGAACCCCCAGATGGGCTCAGCCTGAGGCAGTGAGCGTGCCGCCTGCAACGCCTTCCTCAGATGCTGAGCTGGCCCAGCCCAGGCCACAGGCACTGCGGGGCACTGACCTGACTGTCCCAGGTCCAACTCTGAGGACACAAGACCTGACAGGAAGCCGTGTAGGGAACAGGCATAGACCAGTGTCGCCACTCCACCAGCTCCCTGAGGCCAGGACCACAGAGCCCCAACCGAACCATAGCCCTGAGGCCAGGCAGCTATGACACACACACACACACACATCAGACCCTGGGAAAAACAGCAGCCTCTCCTGTGCAGCACCCTGCCCTTAGCATTTAGAGAAGCTTCTGAAATAAAAGCTAGCTTACAGGCTTGAAATGTGCAAACAGATCAGAGCACTGGGGACTCCCCATGACGGCTGCCAGAGGGCACAGGACCCAGGACAGCATGCATGCAGGGTCCAAGCCTGCCAAGGGCTTCCTGATCCTGGTACTATCCCAGAGCGACACTGTGTCACTGCAGGGTGAGCCCATGGCCCCCAGTATGTGCTGCTCCTCACCCCTCCTGCCCCCAGCCCCAGGACCCCAGCATGCCATCTGTACCTGTCAGGCAGGGCTGTAGGACCACGTCGGCCAGCAAGCCCACGACGGTGTCCAGACCTCTGCTGTCGGCAGACACGGCATACATGGTGGTGTCTCTGGAAGGAGCAAGGCACTGACGCCAGGCCTGCCCCCGGCAGGATGTCTCGGCCGCACCTGGGCCCCCAACACCCCGCAGAGCACCCAGCGCAGTCCTCACAGCACGCTTCCTCTTCCCTTCCCCTGACTCTTGGTCATTACCACGCAAGAGGCCTCTGCCCACCCCGTGAGCATCGTGGGACCAGGACCTGCCCTGCATCCCACCATGCAGCACGGCTGCAAGGTAAGGCACTGGCCTTCCCAGGACGGGTGCCCAGTGTCACGGCTGCTACCTACGGCTCTGGCCCCGCCTACCCGCTGCTGGCCCTGGACAGGAGCAGCTGCACATGGACAGGAAGCGTGTGACCGCAGAGCTACCTGGAGGTCTGGCAGTCACAGATGCCCCCATGCTTCTCCAAGGTGAGCAGAATCTCATCTTTGCTGTCAAACCGGGCAGTCGACTGACAAAAATAAACACAAAGGATTAAATGAGGAATACAAATCAGCCACAAACAGTATAGCCTTTGAGAAAACTTCCTTCTTTCAAAACACAAACGCAAATTACATTTTAGCTTAAAACACCATTAGCCCTAATACCACCATTTTATCAGAACCACCATCCCAGGAGGGGAGACATTTAGAAACACCCTTTCCTAAGCATTCTCCAAACATCACACACTGGACACTGACCGAAAATGCCAATTTCTCCAAAAAGTGAGCAATCCCATTAATATACTTTGCTTCGTATCTTGATCCTGAGTTAATAAGAACTGGTAATGAAAAAAAAGAGGTTAAATGAGATATTCGGGAGAGAAGGTTTAACCATTTCCGCCAACTGTGACTCCAGAGATAACCAGATGAGGGCGATGGCCACGGCCACGTCTTGGGGGTGATGACAGCTCCACACGTGTACAGTGGCACCTCAGTCCACAGGCTTCATGTACTTTATAATTTGGGGGAAGATGGCCATGGTTGTGTTTGTCACCTGAAATGAAGTCTGTGAATGAAAGCAAAATTCTGTTGAAGGCCTTAGAACAGTCTGTAAGCAGAAGGCCTTGCTTGTGGACTCCGTCACTGCTGCGCACACCAGGTTTGCATACGTCTACAGGATTTAGGCGGCAATGTTCTAGGATTACAGCAAGGTAGGAAAAAGGGAGGGCAGCCTACCACAAATGCTACTACCAAAAATGGCCACAAGTTTTCCGGTATCGCCCCACCCCAGGATTGGGCCCGGGCAGTCTACCTTCAGCTCTACACCTACACTTCCACCCCTTTTTGAGACAGGATCTTACAAAGTTGCCAGGCCTGGCCTTGAATTTACCATGCTGGTGCTTCACCCTAGGGCAGTTCAGGCTACCGGCATGCAGCACCACACCAGGAAAGTTTCAGGTTATTATTGTTGTTATTAGACACCCGGAAATGAGCTTAGCACCTTGTGCTTGCCAGGCAGGCACCGTGCCACTGAGCCATCTCCCCAAACCAAGTTTCAGATCTGCTTCCACTTAAGGCTCCGTTCACAGACCAGCTAATTAAAATTGACAGGGACTGGGGAGATAGCTCGGCGGTCTAAGGGCCCGCCTGACCAGTACACGGACCTGGGTTCCATCCCGGGTACCGTATGCCGTGCCAGCCCTGGAACCAAGGGCACGTGGTGGCACACGCCTGTAGTCCCAGTGCTGGGGAGGCTGAGACAGGAGGATCACTACAAGTCCAAACTGCATTGTGCAGCCCTGTACCAATAAATCCTTAAAGAAGACTTCTCAAGAAGTACTTACTTCCCACTGTACAAAACTGGCCAAACTTATTCTGAGACGCTACGCGGAGCCCATTATCCAGCGTGGTGACTCTGGTTTCGAACTTTTCCTGTCCGTCGACTGTAGCGAAAATCGGCCTGGGTACCCCGGGCAGGGGCGCGGTGAGCGGGACGTTGGCGTAGGCGCCTGCGCTACTAAACCGCCTGCGCGCAGCGAGTCCCAACCTGCAACCGAGACCCCGGCCGTGACCACCGCGGGCGCGAGCAGGGCGGCCCGTCCTCGGGTCTAACGGCCACGCGCGCAGGGGGTCCCGGGCGCCCCCCGGAAAGCGAGGCCGCCGCCGCCCCGCCCGCGTCGCAGC